TGTAAAACAGATGCCATTGGCCTGCCACAAGGAATTGAGGCCAACCTCACCGTCCTAATGGATCCATTCACAGACGACATTGATTACTTGCTAACCACGGTAAGATTTTTCTTTTCTTTTCCTTGGGTGTTTTCCAAACTTCTGTTTGGACTGCGGCTCTGTCCAAAAGATCCAGTGGCATTACTTAAGGCCTGTGATGATGGGGAGATTTGGGCTTACCGTTCTTTCTCCTTTTCGTCTGTTGAATATCAAAGAATAACTTGCTAAATATGAAGATCACGTTCATGTGGTTCGAACATTTTGGTCTCCAAAATCATTGCGGTGCTGGAAATGAGGACATGGCTTGAGAGCTTGAAGTGCAGATTTGGAAAATTGCTTGGCCATGTAAAAGTTAGCTCAGGTTCCATCCTTTTGATCGTCCGACAGAAAGCAAGTGCAAGGTGGAAAAGAGCATCCACTTGTGTTGTCCATAGCACGCCTCAAACCCTATGTACTTTGAATTCTCCAAAGCTTTTAAACCTATTTCAACAACTTTCTTGACAACTTTCAAGCCTTCAGTTTCCCGAACATTACTTTGAACATGTTGAAAACCACAGATTTGAACAGATTTTGAACAAATAATACACAGTGATAGACCAACACTGTTGTCTGTCGATGTGTGGTAGCTCCATTTTTCACTTGAGTGGTTCTTGGTAGATACCAACTTGTTCAGCAGTGTCATTAAACCAATCCTTCCCCGCTAAGTATCTCTGTGAATTTGCTTCTCTTCCAATTCCAGATCAAATTGATCATTCGCACTCCTCTGAGTCCACAGCCCATCATAGAAACATTTATTGAGAACGGACGCATGCCCATCCCACCATGCGGTAAGTTGTGTTTCCCCTGGCCAAGTTGTCCTTTCCCGACTCTCAATATCTTCTTCTTCGGCTTATAGTTTCCTGTTCACGATTCACGCGTGTAATTTTCTCCTCCATCTTGAGCCCCTTTGCACGATAGCCACCTTGCAGGGCACTTCCTTTTTTTAACAGAGAAATCTCCTTTGTGCATACCCAGTCGAACAAAAGCACTGGCCTGCAAGATGGCAGCCGTGCAAATCCTTCATTCCTCTTTGCTCACCAATCACTGGAGGTATACCAGGACTTGAAATAGAGTTTGGCCATCTCTTATCGTTGTTGTATCAGCTTTTTTTGCCTTGAAACTTGAAAGTCTGAAACCATCCGCCAACATCATGCACCAGTTTTGTTTACTTGTCAATAATAAGGCCCCTGCTGGATTTCACCATTACTAGATCACCCGATGACGACACCAGTTTCCAGACCCCCCACCTCTTTAACCCCCTTGCCGGGTGCGGGTGACGAGTGCGCGACTTGGCAGGCCATTAGTGATGGCATCAGAGATGACCCAGTGTTTGCCGGCAATATGGTGTGTGGGGTCAATAATAGTCCGTGTGATGGTATCGTCTGCAATCTGACTTCAGATGTAATTATATTACTCCTTTTTTTCATTGTCGAAATTGGAAACATTCACTTGAGAAGGTATTTTAACTTGTACTTATTTCTGGTTTTTAAATGCGTAAGCATCCATCAGACATGGAAAAGTGAAAAATTGTATTGAGGTCTTTGTGCACAAGTCATCTAATTCTCTTGCTTTTTCCTTTGTTTTGTTTGTTTGTTTGTTGGG